TACACGTACAAACGCACTTACATAAATACGTACACTTACATAATTGGTCGCATTTGGAGGTGATCGTTAAGCGAGGGTCCACTGTACTTTGTCGCAGTTAAGGTAGAGAGTCGGTCGCCAGTGCCATAATTGTTTCTCCACAAACTGGACATTTCTTCTAGCGATTTGCAATATTTTCTTTTGGGTGGCAATATCACCAACATTTGTGGCATTATTGCTTTGTTGGTGTGAGTTCCCTCACCGAGCTGCATTGACCTGTTATGTATACTGTGGAGGAAAGTTTATGGCAGTTAATAATTTTAACTATATTGCTCGGGTACCATCTCAGTCTGTGAGCAGGGTGAACATACGTTTCAACTTTGGTGATTAGGTGTTGTAGTTGCAATTGTATTTGGATGTCCACATAACAGTCTGTGAAGTCTTATTATATGACTGTGAGGGATGAAAATGGTTCATTGTCATGAAATGAATGCAGCATGTCAGTGTACGGTCATGTTAATGGTGTGGTGACGCCCTTACTCTGTCAGCTTGATCACCATCATTAACTCTTCTAGAGGATGAAAGATGTATACGCCGATATGGATCAAGAGTGCTTGTCTAAGATTGTAGTTCGTTGGTGTAGTGAAAACTTTGTCGTCCAGTGTCGTTTTTTGGAAGATTTCTTAGCGGGTGGTTTCCAGGTGCCTGGTGGCTACAGCTTTCGCTTCGCACGGTGGGAGTTCGGGTTCGATTCCCAGCGAAGGGGTGGAAACATCAGACGTCTTTCCTTACACTGGTTGTCTATGTTCACCCATTAGTAAAACTGGCACTTGGGTGTTAGTCGACTGGTGTGGGTCGCATCCTGGGACAAAACTGACGTAATTTGCCCAAAATGTTCTGCACAACAAGGGGCTTCCTATATAGTAGTATGTCATTGATGTTGGCTAGGCCTGTATACCTTGTGCATGTACTTGTAGTAAATAAAGACATTATTTATTATCGAGATGTATGCTATGCAGCCATTATCGTTTGTATGTCGTTGTCTGAACAGCCTCCAGGCTGGAGTCTACCTGGAGGTTATTCCGGGGATCAACGCCCCCGCGGTCCGGTCCACGACCAGGCCTCCCAGTGGATCAGGGCCTGATCAATCAGGCTGTTACTGCTGGCTGCACGTAGTCCAAAGTACGAACCACAGCCCAGCTGATCCGGCACTGACTTTAGGTATTTGTCCAGCTCCCTCTTGAAGGCAGCCAGGGGCCTATTGGTAATTCCCTTAATGCTTGGTGGGAGGCTGTTGAATAATCTTGGGCCCCAGACACCTATGGTGTTTTCTCTTAGTGTACCAATGGCGCCCCTACTTCTAATTGGGGGGTATTTTGCATCGCCTGCCCAGTCTTTTACTTTCGTAGGGAGTGATTTCTGTATGCAGATTCGGGACCATTCCTTCTAGGATTTTCCAAGTGTAGATTATGATATCTCTCTCCCTCCTGCGTTCCAACGGGTACAAGTAAAGTGCTTCCAGCGTTCCCAGTAGTTAAGGTGCTTGACAAAACTTATACGTTCAGTAAAGGATCTCTGTACACTCTCTAGATCTGCGATTTCACCTGCTTTGAATGGAGATGTTATTGTACAGCAGTATTCCAGCCTAGAGAGATCAAGTAATTTGAAAAGGATCATCATTGGCTTGACATCTCTCGTTTTGAACGTTCTCATTATCCATCCTATCATTTTCTTTGCGCTTGTGATCGTGGCACTGTTGTGATCCTTGTCTATCCTTTGGTGTGTAAACATTATTATAATCATGATCCCTCAAGGAAGGTTCCTTGACGCTGGTAAGGGGCTCTTGTTCTAGGGAATTGGATCTGTGCTCCGGTTCCCTGAATTGAGCCTGAATACCTTCCATCCCCTCCACATGTGCTGTTTAATCCTTTGGGTTTAGCGCTCTCCCATACTTATAATAATTATTATAATCATGGGGAGCGCTAAACCCATAGGATTATACAGCGCAAGTGAGGGGGGATGGAAGGTATTCATGCCCAATTCAGGGAACCAGAGCACAGATCCAGTTCCCTAGATCAAGAGCCCCTCACCAGCATCAAGGAACCTCCCTGGGGGGAGGGGATGTAAACAACAAAAGTCGGTATAATCAAGGTATAACAAGAGTTAGATACCAGGATGGGTAAGAATACCAGAGCTAATTTTTGGGTTTGCCTAATGATCCAATCCCCTTCCAAGTGTTACGGACTACCACACTACTGAATTCAGCAAATGGAAATTTTTGTTATTAAAAATCACGTGGGTAGCGCTAAACCCGTACAAGTTCATACAATACCTACAGAAAGAGAGACATTCAGATTTGATCCAAGTAAGAAATGGGCAGGTCCAATTCCTTGAATAAAGAACTTGTTCAGCATCAAGAACCCTTCTTTGAGGGGAAACAAATGGGGAAGATCTATGTTATGTGAGCCGAATAAAAAACGAGGGGTGCTGGGCTTTTAGTCATGCAAAGCCACTCCAACACTGCCATCATGCAAGATTACCCAGGGTGGAGAAGAAGGACGAGAAGTGTAAAGGAGAGGAGAAAAGTGAATGAGAGAGAGAAGGGGGGAGAAGTCAATGGAACAAGCAAGAGAAAAGGGAGAGGGAGGAAAATAAGGGAAAAGAAATTAATGGGTAAAAGTGCCAATATGTACTTTATTCCCAGGGTATGACCTCATCAAAATTACACTTACCATAACTTCTCCTCATCCACAGATTATCTATGGACCATCATCTATGGCTCCAATTGCCTAGCATTATATATCTAGGACTTTGATGACTGTTGTATGTTGCATCCTGGGAGAGAATCTAAAAATTGGACTCCAATGAAAATAAGTAATACTGCTTGGTTTTATTCAGTTATCCTGGGCTATTAACCCTCCGAGGTCAGTAATATAAACCATCCCACGGGGGGGGCTTGAACCCGTGGTCAGAGTCATAAAACTCTAGACCTACGCATTATCCACTGGGCCAGCTGGCTACAGTAAGATTCATCCAACTAGGTATATTTATGTACCATAGGAAGGTTATCATAGGCAATACTGTGACAACAGATGCAAGTTTTTACAGATGAATCTCCTGCCAGCGTGGCTGTGACAAACTCTAGTTCAAGTCCCCTCAAAGCCGTCATGATGACCGTGTGTTCAAGCCCCACCCGTGGTATGGTTTGTTAGCAATCATGTCACTACAATTTCGTAAGTCAGTAATATAGGTAGTCTTATTGGTCCTCATGAATTTCTCTAAGCCCCAAAGGAGATCTACTAAGTACGCCTTTCTTTTCATCTTTTTTTTATCATGTTCACTGGGAAGCACCAAGCCAGTAGAGGCCATACATTAAATTAGTAATAATAATAATAATAATAATAATAATAATAATAATAATAATAATAATGATAATACAGTGGACCCCCGCTTAACGATCACCTCCAAATGCGACCAATTATGTAAGTGTATTTATGTAAGTGCATTTGTACGTGTATGTTTGGGGGTCTGAAATGGACTAATCTACTTCACAATATTCCTTATGGGAAAAAATTCGGTTAGTACTGGCACCTGAACATACTACTGGAATGAAAAAAGTTTGTTAACCGGGGGTCCACTGTATCTTTATTTCAACAAGCACAGGCTGCATGACCCTTGTGGGTTTAGCGCTTTAACCCTTAAATGGTCCAAACGTGTATATACGTTTTATCAACATCTGAAAGTGTAAAAAAATGTAGAACTTTTTGTTTTGTTTTACATTTGAAAACGTGTAAAAAAAATTTTATCTACTTTTTTTTTGGTTATATTTGAAAATATGTAAAAAAAAAGTAGATCTACTTTTGTAGCACTACGAATTTGAACATCGATCTGTTTGGACCGTTTAAGGGTTAATTGATTATAATAATCTACATGTGGCGAGGAACTCTTGATCTAGGGAATTGGATCTGTGCTCCAGTTCCCTGAATTAAGCCTGAATAGCTTTCATCCCCCCCCCCACAGGCACTGTATAATCCTACAGGTTTAGCACTTCCCATGATCATAATAATAATAATAATAATAATAATACAAGTACATGTACAAGGTATACAGGCCTAGCTGCCATCAATGACTGCTACTATATAAAAAGTCGCTTGTTTTGCACAGCATTTCAGACAAATTAGGTCAGTTTTGTCCCAGGATGCAACCCACACCAGTCAACTAACGCCCAGGTACCCATTATTACTGATGGGTGAACATGGACAATCAGTGTAAGGAAACACTCCCCATGTTTTCACCCCTTTGCCAGGAATCAAACCCGGACCCTCACCATGTGAAGCGAGAGCTTTTGCCACCAGGCCACAGGGCACCATAGCTAAACCACCAGAGTCATATAATATAATACAGCATGTTCATTTTATGTGCTAAACCCATCTGGGTCCTAAGGTGCACTGCAGTGTCAAGCCATAAATAAATACTAATAAAATAGATTTTGACAGGTACCTCTCAGTAAGTACTTGTGTAAGATCATCCAGATATTACTACCAACACTTCATATATTAATACAGCAATATACATTATTCACAAAAAAATGCTTAATTCATAGGGGCCATACAGTACTACATTTAAAATAAAAACTGGGGTCATATGTAACTAGTACCTATAAGCTGGAGTAAAGAACTTAGATACCACCCAGTGGCTTTCTTGTCAATGACATGATATTATTATTACTATTACATATATGACGAGGAAATGCTAAACCCCCTAGGGGTTATAGAGGACCTGGGGGGAAGGAGACCTTCAGATTCGATCCAAGGAAGGGAAGCACAGGTCCAGTTCCTCAGATCAAAAGCCCTTCACTGGCACCAAGGAACCTACTTTGAGATAAGTGACTTGACACAGCCCCCTGTGTGGGCACAACATTATTGTTAACAAAGGTGTCAACTGCATCTGTCATTTCATACACAGTTTATGTAATAAAAATATCCCCACTTATATTTTACAAGGAAATTATTTAAACAGTCTTCTATGTAAAACTCTTTATGCTATTCTATATATACATATTAATATCAATATATAAAAACAAAAATAAGTCTTGCAATTTGTTATTTATTCTTAAATCAGGCTCCTCTCTAACTGTAAGAGATGCCACTTATAAAATGCCAGAGTAGACTACAGTATACACTATACAATGATACCTCAACAACCATTACAGGACTTTTTCTCATCCTAAGAGTGTGTTCTCTCACCTGAAAACTCACTAGACAACCCAATGGTGTTGAAACTAAATACTTAGAAACAACAAAGAATACATCATGTCAACATTGTGAAAGTTGCATTATATAGTGCATATGAATAAGTAAATAATATGCATTTGTGTACTGTACTTATTCATATATACTCATATACATAATGCATGCAAAATAGGGTGGCCAATAATTTGACTCCCAGTAATTTTCACTCCTGGTGATTTCACTCCCCATATTAAAAATCAACATTAAACATTTAAAACATTAATATAAACATTTATTAAAGCCACTAATTAAAACATTCATATTAAACAGTTATTTAAACATTTATGGTTAAGTTTGATTCAGTTGGGGTGGTTAAAGTTAGATGAAGTTAGGCTATGTTAGATAAAGTTAGACTATGTTAGATGAAGCTAAGCTATGTTTGATGAAGGTAGGTTAGGTTGGATTCTGTTAGATTAAGTTACTTTAGAATATATTAGGCTAATGCAAGTCAGATTAGATTAAATTAGATTAGGTTAGGTAAGATTAGATAAAGTTCAAGTAGGGTAGTTCAGCATAGGCTTAGTTAAATAACCTAATTTTTAACTTTTCAATTCAAACTATTGATTGTGGGTCAAATTACTGGAAGCAAAATTACCAGGGTCAAATTAAGAGTCAATGAAGTTGCAAACAGATGACTAGGGTATGCAAACAAACAAAAGAGGGTAGAAATAGAGCTTGAAGTCATTTGGTTCCTGAGATAGAGGTCAGGCAATAGGGTTGAAATAGGCAACTCATGCCTTATCAAGTAAGAGGACCAAGGATGTTTGAGAAAACATATGTTCTATTTCAACCCAGTTATCTGACCTAGTTTCTAACAATGGTTATGCTCCAAAGCCAAAAGGTCTCAAGCTCTATTTCCACCACTTGTGATTTATTTACATACAGTATGTATGTACTCGATGTGTGTTGTGCGTCTTAAGATGAACTTGCCTTATCTAAAAATAATAAGTGAAGCATATATTTTTATTAAACATAACAAAAATCAGTTGGTACATTTCAAAATTATTACTGTGTGATATTTCACTAATAACTAGTATGGAATTAATTCAGTAATAATAATAATAGTATAATCAAATTAAGTGCTAAATACAGAAGGGTCATACAGAGCTGTGAAAAGTACAAAAGGAGGAATGTTCAAAGGTGAGGTGAAGAGGAGTGCAGAGGTAGGCATTAGTGAAGGTGGGGGTTAGTGCAAGAGTAAAATTTAAATCAAAGTTGGTGTAGTAGGTTAGTTTCTGATAAAAAATCAGAGAGAGAGCCTTGCATCAAAGGTGGGACTTTCAGTGATGTCAGTTAGTGTGTGTGTTGGAAAGGCATATATGTCACCTAATTTAAGCTGCTATTACTATGGTAAGTTAGGATTAAGATACCGGTACAGTATATTACACCAAATGACATAAATTTATCAAAATCATGTCAGGTTGCTAGGATAACTTACTACAAAACTTTTAATTTACATACTATTTTATTTCAAGCAAATACATCTTATATCTTTCTGTAAGATGAGAGGTAAATCTTAGGAACTTAACCCTTTGACTGTTTTGGTCGTATATACGTATATGTCTTATGAGCCAGTGTTTCGGACGTATATGTACTCAGTAATTCTAGCGGCTTCAAATCTAGCACGAGAAAGCTGGTAGGCCCACATGTGAGAGAATGGGTCTGTGTGATCAGTGTACACCATATAAAAAAAATTCTGCAGCATGCAGTGCATAATGAGAAAATACATATTTTTCAAAAAGCCCATAAAATTTCGATGAAATTCAGAAATAATTTTGAATATTTCTGACCGTTTTTTTGGATTAAAACGCAGACTTTGAGGTGTATTTTCATATAGTATTTATCGTTGTATTCTCATTTTCATGGTCTCACGTGATAAAATGGAAAACACATTGCAGAAATAGAGATGATTTTGATTAGTTTCACGATGAAAACAACATTGAAATTGAGCTCAAAGTATCGGAAATGTTCGATTTGTACCAATGTTCAAGAGTAAGCAAATCACACCACACGTCCAATACACATCAACTGGGGAGTCTAATATTCCTAGTACACTGGAATTATTTACTAGTACACTAGTACTAGTACACTGATATTATTAATACCATTTTAACAATAATGCAGTAGTATGCATAACAGTAAATCTTCTATTTTTTGTATAAATAAAAAATCAAAATAGAAAGCAATAGTAATATAAGAGGGGCCTAGAGATGTGACTAATGAACAGAGGATATGTTATTTTAGTGCCAAGAATGTTTACATTGTTTATTCTGGACCCTATTTTGAAATTGGCATCTTTTTTAATTTGCATGAAATTGGCCAAATTGCCAATTTCTGACCACTTTATTGGGTAGTTCAAATCGGAAAATGGGCTGTTTCTTGTACTCAATTGATAGAAAAAAATGGAGTTCTAAAGTTTGGTCAACTGGAACAACGGAATTGGCCAAAAACAGGGCTGAAAGTCAGCGAAATTGCCGATGCGTATATATCGCCGAGACCGCTAACTTTGCGGGAGCGTAATTCCGTGAGTTTTCGACCAAATTTTGTACCTTTGCTGTCATTACCATTGGGAAAAGATTCTCTGTCATTTCATAAGAAAAAATCATTTTTTTTTTTTCCAAAAATTTTGCGACATAGAATGACAGTTTCAGAAAGGGGCTTGTGACAGTCAAAGGGTTAAACAGTGTGTACTTACATTCACTATAAAATAAATGAATGTACATATGTCTATGTATATGTATCTATGTATATATGTGTGAGTATGTCTGTACATACGTGTGAGTATGTCTGTATATCCTAGGTAGTAGGTTGGTAGACAGCAACCGCCCAGGGAGGTACTACCGTTCTGCCAAGTGAGTGTAAAACGGAAGCCTGTAATTGTTTTACACAATGGTAGGATTGCTGGTGTCTTTTTTTTTCTGTCTCATACACATGCAAGATTTCAGGTACGTCTTGCTACTTCTACTTACACTTAGGTCACACTACACATACATGTACAAGCATATATATACACACACACCCCTCTGGGTTTTCTTCTATTTTCTTTCTAGTTCTTGTATGACCAGTGTGTTGAAAGAAGATGTCTGTATATATGTATGTATGCATGTATGTATCTATCTATCATCCTAGGAAAGGATGGAGGGAAAGGATGAAGGAGGTTTTGTGTGCAAGGGGCTTGGATATGTGTGAGCATATTAGATAGGAGTGAGTGTAGACAAATGGTTTTTAGGACCTGACGAGCCATTGGAGTGAGAGTAAGGTAATATTATGTGAAGGGATTTAGTTCAGGAAAATCAGTTAGCCGGACTTAAGTCCTGGAGGTAAGAAGTACAGTGCCTGCACTCTAGAGGGGCTTGGGAGAGTTGATGTTAGGATGGACATCTGAAATGTCGCATTTGCATGCCTCTGACAAGACAGTGATAGTGTAAATGATGGTTAGTGTGTTTCTTTTTTGAGCCACCCTGCCTTGGTCCAAAACAGCCCATCTAGTTGTGCCAGCACTTTTGTATGTATGTGAGATAAGTGAGACAAGGCCTTTGAATGCTGCAATAAGGAGGAGGAGGCTGGAGGTAGTGATGTATTCAAGATCAATTTGTGGTATGACTATTATAAAGTGTATGTCAAATGAAGAAATTATAAGACAGTATAGTAATCTGAAAGATATAATTTAGAGATCTGTAGAGTCCTGTGGTTCCATTGGTAATGCACTCAGCTCACTTACTGTCTTGATTCATTCTCTGGCATGCGTGGGAACACTGAGCATGTTTCCTTACACCTGCTACCCCTCTTCACTTAGTAGTAAGTAGGTACCTGGGTGCTAGTAAAAGTGATCTGTGTAATAATAAAAAAAAAATTTAACCCTTTAGGAAAGATGATGGAACAACATAAGAACATAAGTTTATCAAGAGAGTATATAAATCTTGAATATCTGGAAGGGGTGAAAGGATGATGTTAAGGGTTTGGGTGGTAAGCATCCAGCAGGCATGTATGTGTGTCAGAGCAGAGTAGTGAAGACAGAAATGTTGGGGACCACTTCCTTGATCTGTTATGAACCTCCTATTTTTTTTGACTACCACCCATAGGATGGGTATGGAGCATATATTAAAATCAACGAAATGACAAACTAGCCAGAGACAAGTTTTTTTTTTATTGTTACACAACCTGCTGTTGAAGGGTAAGCAAAGCAGGGTTTATGAATGGAATCAAAGAAACTGGTTAGCAGAACTTGAGTGCAGAAGGTGGGAAGTACAGTGTCTGCACTCAAAGCTTGAGTGAGGAAGTTGTAATTCAGTGGATTATATATGAATTGTGATGGCCATGCTCTACTGGAAAGAACTAACAAATGAGTGATGGTAAACAAGTTTTCCCTTATTTGTGTCACCCTACCTTAGTGGGAAGTGGTTGATTTGATATGTTAAAAAATTAAATCATGCATACACAGTACACACATACTGGCACCAATGTTGTAGCAATTAATTAACTATAGTGTAAATAATATACTTTCTTCTTCTTTCAACAAACCAGCCATATCCCGCCGAGGCAGGGTGGCCCAAAAAGAAAAACAAAAGTTTCTCTTTTCAAATTTAGTAATTTATACAGGAGAAGGGGTTATTAGCCCCTTGCTTCCGGCATTTTAGTCGCTTCTTACAGCACGCATGGCTTACGGAGGAAGAATTCTGTTCCACTTCCCATGGAGATAAGAGGAAATAAACAAGAACAAGAACTAGAAAGAAAATAGAAGAAAACCCAGAGGGGTGTGTATATATATGCTTGTACATGTATGTGTAGCGTGACCTAAGTGTAAGTAGAAGTAGCAAGACGTACCTGAAATCTTGCATGTTTATGAGACAGAAAAAAGACACAGCAATCCTACCATCATGTAAAACAATTACAGGCTTTCGTTTTACAGTCACTTGGCAGGACGGTAGTACAGTGGACCCCCAGTTCCTGATGTTACCGGTATCCAATAAATTCGGTTGCCGATGCATTTGATTGAAAAAATTTTGCCTCGCTTCCCGATACAAAACCCGGTATGCGATACGAGACATGTCCAATTGTGGCCTGAACTCCCCCGTGTGTACCAGTGTTTACAAGCCAGCCAGTGTGCACGCATCAAAGGATACATTCAGTACATTCCATATTATCACTGTTTTTGGTGCTTGTTTCTGCAAAATAAGTCACCATGGGCCCCAAGAAAGCTTCTAGTGCCAACCCTTCCAGACCAAGGGTGCTACTGACTATTGAAATGAAAAAAGAGGTAACTGCAAAGTACGAAAGTGGCATTGGGAAAGTCCTTGGGGTTGGAGGTTAGTGGGGAGGATGTGGAAGAGTTGGTGGAGGAGGACAATGACGAACTAACCACTGATGAACTGCTAGATCATCTTCAACAGCAAGAGGCCAGACCTGAGGAAACTGCTTCGGTGGAGGGGATAAAGAAAGTGAAGCAGTTGCCTACTTCTAAGATTAGGGAAATGTGTGCAAAGTGGCTTTGATGAAAATCACCCTCAGACAGCTACTGCAAGCCGTGTTGGCAACCTGTACAATGACACTGTTGTGAACCACTTTAGGAAAGTCATAAAGGAACGGGAGGTACAGGTCTCTATGGACAGATATGTTGTGCGACAGAAGTCCAGTGACTCTCAAGCTGGTCCTAATGGCATTAAAAGAAGAAGGGAAGTAAACCCGGAAAAAGACTTGATACCTCCAGTGCTACTGGAGGGGGATTCCCCTTCTATGCAATAGGTTCAACACACTCTCCTCCTCCCATCCCATCAATCATCACCAGATCTTCATTAAAGGTAAGTGTCAATTATATTCTATTGTTATTAATCCACTGTTATTGTTGTTATTGTAATTATTCTAATACATTAAACTTAATATTTCACGTGGTAAAAGTTTTTTTTTTCATACTTTTGGGTGTCTTGCACGGATTAATTTGATTTCCATTATTTCTTCTGGGGAAAATTGATTCGCTTTCCGATATTTTTGGTTTACGATGAGCTCTCAGGAACGGATTAATATCGGGAACCGGGGGTCCACTGTACCTCCCTGGGCGGTTGCTGTCTACCAACCTACTACCTGGTTAAATAATATACAATATATAAAAATCTTTTCAACATATTGCAGAATTTATTGATGCCATACTGAACCACAGAATTTTTTTTTTTCATTATTTTTGTATTGCCAATGAGCTTCAGGCACAAAATGGATATAACTCATATAGTACATACCATGAAACAATAATACACCAGAAAATGCTTTATTTTGTGATGTTAATTTTAACATTCAACACCAAAAAATAAACTCAACATACCAAAATATTTTAAAAATTTAATAGCCAAAGAAATTGCAAGAACAGTGGAGCCTTCACTTATGAGTGTCTCAACGTACGAGTTTTCTGAGATACAAGCCGTTGCTCAGTCAATTTTTTACTCTGAGTTACGAGCCAGTTCTCCCCACTTCCCCCTCAACCCAAAACCTGCACACCTCGCTTGTTTATCTATGATTTCATGCTTTAATTCCATGGAAATCATCCTCTTTTTCTTCTCAGCATTACCCTTTACACTTACTTTCTTAGAACCCATGCTTAGAAAAACAAAAATTTTCCAAATAACTGCTAAAAATGAAAGCAGAGCATGAGATAAATACTCCCACACTGAGGTAAACAGTGAATTGAGTTGGTGGCATTCTGAAGCTCTCATTATTATTATTATTATTATTATTATTATTATTGTTATTATTATTATTATTATTATTATTGTTATTATTATTATTATTATTATTATAAAAATAATAATAATAATGAGTAAGCTTCAATTCCCTAAACTAATAATAATAATAATAATGGAATTAAAGCAAACTGTATGATTGCTGAACTTAACGTTCAGCAATCAAACAAAACACTGAAATATTTTGTCCTGCCGCTGGGACGGATTAATGGCATTTCAATTAATTTAAATGAGGGAAAATTGATTTGATATACCTACAAGCAAACTGAGTTACGAGCTAGGTCACAGAATGGATTAAACTTGTAAGTCAAGGTTCCACTGTACACTAAATTAAATTGATTTATTTACGTTCACAATGTTTTAAAACTTAATATTTATTAAAATATTTAGAATTAAGATGTGTGCATTATACAATATAAAATTGTGTACTGTACTGTAATACAACACAATGTTATTACCCATTTGTGATTACTTAACTGAAGGTACCAAAACACAGACGTTCTTATAATTTTCCATCTTCATTGTTTAGTTCTTGATAAAGTTTTTTCAAGTTTAAAGTGATAACAATATATACCACCTCTTCTTGAATCCCCTGCAGCAGTCTGCCTCTCTAGTTAGAAAATGATCTTTAACAGCATCCTTTCAGCAAGCTTTGATTATTAATTGTTCTCTTGCATCTCACTACCACTGTTACTAAACATTCGCAGCCTAGTTTCATTCTTTAGTATACTTCTAAAATCTATTAAAAATTAGTCTTTGGGCAGTACAGTTAGATCTCAGAATGTATCCCTATGTTTTACATGTTAAATTGGGTTTTCTTTGGAATTTTTTATATAATTACTCACATAAAATGATGGTCAGCTGTATTCTATCTATACTATTATCAAAATGAGTTTAGTCACACAAGACCTAAGAACATATGAAAGAAACAACACTGCAGCAGGCCTACTGGCTCATGCAAGATAGGTCCAAGTCACCTATTGGCTTAAGTCAATGCCCTAACCTAGTCAAGTCAGGTCACATTCACTTAAGGAAGGAGCATGGCATCTGACCTAGTAGCACAAGCTAGTCAGATCCAACTCACACCTACCCACACCCGCTCGTGTATTTATCTAACCTATTTTTAAAACTACACAATGTTTCAGCATCTATAACTGTACTCAGGAGTTTGTTCCACTCATTCACAACTCTATTACCAAACCAGTGCTTTCCTATATCCTTCTTGAATCTGAATTTTTCCAGCTTAAAGTCATTGCTGCGAGTCCTGTCTAGGCCAGATATTTTTAGCACACTACAGTATTTACATACCCTTTATTTATTCCTGTTTTCCATTTATACACCTCAATCATATCCCCCCTCATTTTACACCTTTCTAGAGAGTACAGATTCAGGGCCCTCAGTTTATCCTCACAGGGAAGATTTCTGATACATGGGATCAGCTTTGTCATCTTCCTCTACATTTTCCAGTGCATTTATATCCATTCTGTAATATGGTGATCAAAACTGCACAACATAATTTAAATGAGGCCTAACCAAAGATATATAGAGTTGAAGAACAACCTGAGGACTTCTATTATTTATACTTCTTGATATGAAGCCAAGGATTCTGTTAGCTTATTTGCAAACACTTATGCACTGTTGTTTTAGTTTCAGATTATTGTTAACCATAGCTTAGTTATGGAAGACATCAATTTCACACATCTTAAATGAGTTTCCTATACAGAGGATATTTATCCCAGCAAACTATGAACAAATGAATTCAAAAAGCTTGAAAAGTGGTCTGTGAACAACAAATCTAGTATTAGATTTTCAAATATATTTGAGATTATAAAACTAATGAGGAATGAAATACCTTTTGCCTTAATTGTAAGAATTACATGCTTATAATTTTAGAAATTATACAATACATAAAAAAAAAAAAAGATGTCCCATGTAAAATGTAACATTCTCCTATGATTGCATGTCTGGTGATTATCAACAGACAGTGAGCATGCAAGTGATCCTGATGCAGTGAACATGGTGAAAGTCCAAAATATTTCTCCATCAATAATGTTCCTTGCTATCATATATTGCACAGAATTTAGTACACAAAAAAAAAGTTGAATAATTTTCTGTACTCACACAAAAATGATTACATCCACAAAAAACACTAAACCTATATGGGTCACCAAGACAAAAATTTTATACAAAACATATAGTGCTAGATACTAAAAACTTCATGCAAAATACATCAGTGTAATGACTGCAGTAAGCAAATTATTATTGCTATACTGTACTCACAAAAATAGTGTTAAACCTGTATGGGTCATTCAGCACTATTTCTGTAAGCAAAGCTCCCTCTAATTATTTTTGCTTTGAATCATTACACAGTATGCTATCTTTTCTGAAATAATTAAATTACATATGCTTGTGTCCTTGTTATACAATGTGACAGCACCTCTACATAAACATAAAAGTTTATATATCAGAGTCTGTAAACCACACTAGCATACACTGTATTATGTATACATATATATATAATACAAAATATATATAATATAAAATGGGAGTTGACAACAGTTACTTTTTGCTGATGATACTGTGCTTTTGGAGGATTCTAAAGAAAAGTTGCAAAAGTTAGTGGATGAGTTTGGGAGGGTGTGAAAAGGTAGAAAGTTGAAAGTGAATATTGATAAGAGTAAGGTGATGAGGGTATCAAACGATTTAGATAAAGGAAAATTGGATATCACATTGGAGGGAGGGAGTATGGAAGAAGTGAATGTTTACAGATATTTGGGAGTTGACTTGTCAGTGGATGGGTTTATGAAGGATGAGGTAAACCATAGAACTGATGAAGAAAAAAAGGTGTGTTGGGGTATCTGTGGAGACAAAGAATGTTAACCATAGAAGCAAAGAAGGGAATGTACGAAAGTATAGTGGTAACAGCACTCTTATATAGGTGTGAAGCATGAGTTGTAAATGCTGCAGCAAGGAGGCAGCTGGAGGCAGTGGAGATGTCATGTCTAAGGGCAATGTGTGGTGTAAATATTATGCAGAGAATTCGAAGTGTGGAAATTAGGAAGAGGTGGTTTGGTCATTTAGAGAGAATGGAACAAAGAAGAATGACTTGGAGAGCATATAAATCTGTTGGGGAAGGAAGGCGGGGTAGGGGTCATCCTCGAAAAGGTTGGAGGGAGGGGGTAAAGGAGATTTTGTGGGCAAGGGGCTTGGACTTCCAGCAAGCATGCGTGAGCGTGCTAGATAGGAGTGAATGGAGACGAATGGTTTTTGGGACCTGACAAGCTGTTGGAGTGTGAGTAAGGTAATATTTTGTGAAGGGATTCAGGGAAACTGGTTAGCTGGACTTGAGTCCTGGAAACAGAAAGTACAATGCCTGCACTTTAAAGGAGGGGTTTAGGATATTGGCAGTTTGGAGGAACATCTAAATTGTATCTGAGCACCTCTGCAAAGACAGTGATTATTTATGAGTGATGGTGAAAGTGTTGAATGATGATGAAAATTTTTTTCTTTTTTGCATTTTTCTTTCTTTTTTGGGTCACCCTGTCTCAGTTGGAAATGGCGAATGTGTTAAAAAAACAAATTTACAAAATGAATTATATACTCTATTTGCTGAGACTCAATGATCATTTATGGTCCATAATATCCCTATACAAATAAAAATATACAGATGACACAATCTTTCAAATTATACAGTATATGCTGTCTTAATCTTCAATCAAACTTATTCTATGAAGAGAATAATTGCTCATGAAAAGTACAATAACTGACAGAGCTCATTATTCAAATAAGATGATCTTACATAATATATGTTAATTGCTAATAAACTTATCAGAAGAAATAACATAACAAATAATGTAGTGTAATGCAGTATCTTAATTCCCTGTTTAGCCACCAACTGTTCAGCAACTGAGGATACATTAGAGAAAAAGTCTGCTTAGTGACAACCTGTTCCCAATTTAGTAACCTACTGTAGTACCTCTCATTAGTAACTTCCAAAAATAAAAATAAATCTTTCACATTTATTGACTGGTTTATTAAAAGCTGTGAACCCACCACATGTACAGTGCACCAAACAATCATATATAAAAGTTATGCCTCTGATCCCCAAAAAGTGAGAATAATAAACAAATCATCATAAGCATACTACATATGTGCCATTCATATAAAAACTGTACTTTTAATGTCTTTGTATTTTGTACCCTAAATACTTAATCACATTTACAATTATGAGTGCCTGTCTGATAAAATAAAAGTATAATGAATTGCTTTCCCATAATAAATCTCCGATTATAACATGGGTGGCTATGGAAAAATGAGGGTTGATAAGAGTGTAAAAAAATCACTTAGTCA